GGAGTCATTGCTGAGGTTGTCATAGCTAGTTTAGAATATCTTTTTTTTTTTTTAAGATTTTTATTTATTTGAGAGAGAGCGAGCACGGGCAGGGGGAGGGGCAGAGTGAGAAGCAGGCTTCCTGCTGAGCAGGGAGCCCAACGCGGGGCTCGATCCCAAGACCCCAGGACCACGACCCGAGCCAAAGGCACTCAACTGACTGAGCCACCCAGGGGCCCCTGGTTTAGAACATCTTAGATTTTGTTCTAGTGAAAGGATTTTGGGTGGCTTCCATAATGGAGCACAATTGAATGTGCCTCAGGACAAGTGCATTTTTTTTTTCCATTGTATAATGGAAGAAGAGCATGATTGTACCATGGCCACTAAATCACAACATTTGGTTTTTCTGTGCTGTTTCTGTACCGTCTTGTCCTAGTACTATCTTTGAATGTGTGCTTTAATGTGGTATGTGTTTTTTCTTATGTTATTTGAGTACTATTCAGAATGAAAAGGAATAACCTTACTTTCAGTTCTCTTGTGCTTAAGAACATCTTCACAAATAGAATCTCATTTATCTAGCAACAGGAAGAAAATTTGAGAAAAGAAGTAATTTGTACAAAGTGACTTTGATTGATGGGGGACAGGTGTAGAAATCAGGTCTTTTAATGGTTGGTCTAGGATTCTTACCCAATTGGTTTCACTTAAGTCAAACAGAATAACTTTCAGTCACTATTTTTGGTACAGAATCACTCGTCCTTTGAGCCCAAGGCAAATCTTATGGAAAAATACAATAGTAATTTTTTATTGTTTTGGAACATTAAAAAATTACAGGAGGGGCGCCTGGGTTGCTCAGTTGGTTAAGAGTCTGCCTTCGGCTCAGGTCATGATCCCACAGTTCTGGAATTGAGTCCCACATGGGGCTCCTTGCTCAGAGGGGAGTCTGCTCCCTCTGTCTTCCACTCCCCCTGCTTGTGCATGCTCGTACGTGTGCTCTCTCTCTGACAGATGAATAAAATCTTTTATTTTTTATTTTTTAAAGATTTTATTTATTCATTTGACAGACACAGCGAAGAGGGAACACAAGCGGGGGAGTGGGAGAGGGAGAAGCAGGCTTCCTGCCGAGCAGGGAGCCCGATGCGGGGTTCGATCCCAGGACCCTTGGATCATGACCTGAGCCGAAGGCAGGCGCCCCAATAAATAAAATCTTAAAAAAAAAGTTACAGGAACAAAAAGAGGAAGGAAGTTAAGAAATATGAAAGGCTAGGGGAAAATGTTCCATTAGCCCCTCCTCTTTTTAAAAAAGTTACAGTCCATTGCTCCAGAAATTTGAGTAAATAAGTGCCAGTAAATTTCATAAAGAAAATTGTTGTTTCCCATTTTTGTCTGTCAGGGCATATACAACAATTTTAACTTTTCAGTATGTTATTAAATAAATGATCAACAAAAAAAAACCTTTTTCTTTTTTGCCACTGTCACTTAAAGATTTTTTTACCTTAGATCATCAGAACTACATAAAACCTGACGTGAATTTTTTACATTGTCTTCATTATTTTACCATTAACCAGTTGGCCCAGAATTGCAATGAACTAGCTGATGTCTTGTATTTCTTTTTTTTTTTTAAGATTTTATTTATTTATTTGACACAGAGAGAGAGCACGCACAAGCAGGGGGAGCAGCAGAGGGAGAGGGAGAAGCAGGCTCACCAAGCAGAGAGCCTGATACGGGGCTCGACCCCAGGACCCTGGGACCATGACCTGAGCTGAAGGCAGACGCTTAAGGACTGAGCCACCCAGGCGCCCTGATGTCTTGTATTCCTTATGTCTCATGAGTTATACTTGAAAGTCCCTAACTTTGACAGTGATTTGGAATTTAAGGAAGGGATTATGTGAAATGAGGCAGTTGTCTTGCTGAAATTACTAATTACAGGGATGGCTTCATTTGAATCATTTTGGACCTTTATATCAAACTCTGTATACTAACGTCAGGACCTCCTTCCTATATGAGCCAAAACTGGTTATACTTATTACTCTGTTTTAATAGTTTTATGCCTTCGGCTTCCATACCTTTAAGGCCAGCCTTTCTCACATATTGAAATGACTAGTTTTGGAGAAAGAGAAGCATTGGGTGTCTTTTCTTGATCCTCTTACTAATCCGCTGTTACTATTTGGGAATAATCTCTTTTGTCCTTTCTTATTATTTAAGTCTCTGATAACAAGGTTTAGACATCCACCATGTCCAAACAAGATTTGGCGCAGCAGGCCAAAGAGATGTATGGTGAGAGGTTTTTCTTCTTCCACATACATGCCCACTTTGGGCACCTGTGTGCTAATTATGTCTGTTATGTCAGCATTTAGAAGTTGAGACCCTTCAGAGGTTGTTGAATCTGGGGACAAGAATCATTTGCATTTCATGATG